CCGCTGTCAAGCCCGCCTCGCCTGCACCAGGCGCTGGCATTGCTCCTGCAGCGTCTACATTTTCAGGTAATAATAGCGCCACTCGCCCACCTGGACGGGTCTCTGTGTACACGTGCAGTGCCAGCGGGGTTGCGGGACTATCTGGTGTGGGCGACGCGTACTCACGTGCTTCTTTACGCATTGGCTGCGGCGCTCTCTCCTTGTCAGCACTGGTGATGCGCGCCAGCATGGCATCAAGGAAACTCGGCGGCTGTCCACTGATCGGCCGCGTGGGGCTTTCTCCCTCCAGTGCGCCAGCCAGGTTTACCCTCACACCGCCAGACACCGACACACATGCCTTGTGGATAGCACTACTCATTCCCGCTCGCGATAAGACGGGGGAGGACATGCGAACCGCGTTCATAGCCGCATCGTAAGTCTCTGCCCCGGTCGCACCCTGGGTGAGATGAGCAGTGCAGGCACAGCTCTCACACAGGACACCTATACCTCCCTCAACGCCCATCACCGAGGAGGACTGAGGACGCCCATCCACGTTGGACGTACCCCTCCCTGTTGCACCTGCATCCAACGTGACGCAAGAAGCTGATGAATGTCCTGCAGACCGCAAGGGGCGTGAGGAGGCGGCGCCGACACCCACATTTTCCCCCCACTCCTCACCGCTCCTACATGCCCCATCCAAGGGGATAGGGGTTTCATGCCTATGATTCGTAGAGCCTGAGCCTAACTGGGTCCTGGATCCTGCAACTGCAGAAGATGAAGGCTGCTTCTGTTGTAGGTGTGTCATCANTCCTGCAGACCGCAAGGGGCGTGAGGAGGCGGCGCCGACACCCACATTTTCCCCCCACTCCTCACCGCTCCTATATGCCCCATCCAAGGGGATAGGGGTTTCATGCCTATGATTCGTAGAGCCTGAGCCTAACTGGGTCCTGGATCCTGCAACTGCAGAAGATGAAGGCTGCTTCTGTTGTAGGTGTGTCATCACTGGCGACTCCGCAGAATGATGATTTTCCTGCAACTGGGATGAGGTTTGATGTCGCCATGATGCAACGGACCCCGCGCGCAATGGCGAGTCCACACTTAACCCAGAGAAAAACAATCCCTCGTCATCCGGATGATATTCCATGTTGAATCGCTCTTCATCTGCTATGTTCTGAAATACAGTGGCCGCCATCTCCTCTGGACTTCTGTCATGCCTGAAGCGTCCGCTTGGGTACTGCAGCAACGAGTTGCCCGAGGCGTTGAGAATGTCATCCACCACTGTATCCACATTCCCAGCGTCCATTGGCTCCCCCCCTTCCGACAGCAGCGCCCCATCTTTCGTAAGAGCACCCTGATGGGGGGAAGTGGAGTGCCATCCAGACGCCTGAAGTACTGACAAAGCCACGCAGTTCTTCTCAAACGCTTCTTCATCTTCGCCCTGAAGAGGAATGCCCCACTGATCAACAGGTCGCACCCCAGCTGTCGATGGATCACTCTCGCCCCCCTCAAGACGGTCACTCTGCGCCGCACCCTCCTCTGACCTCGTTATCGCTCCGCCTGATGACATACCCCTTCCCGACCTGGACTCTCTTCTGCCTTTACCTCCCTTCCCATCTCCATCCACCCTGTTGCCGTCTTGGTCAAACCCTTCCGACTCGCTGTGCCCGTCAACAAAAGTGGACTTCCGCTGCTCCGCGCCGCCCAGTGTGCCACTATCCTTCGAGTGTGCATCCATGTCCGCGACGTCAATAGCTCTCGGCCCACGCCTCGCTGCTTCTGCCGCCATTCCGCCTTCTTCCCCCCTCTCCTCGTCTCCATCTGCCTCTTCGTCTGCGCCTTCCACCTCCCTGCCGAAGCGGCTGAGGAACGGCAGCTTGACCGATTTCCTTTGAGCGTTGACCCTTTTTCTTCCTCTAAGACTTCCGACGTAATCTTCGTCCTCCCCAGACTCCTCTTCCTGCACATTCTCAGTATTTCCAAGTGCCTGCAATGCGGATCCGGCGACTGCATTCTCAATAGAAGTATCACCTTCTTGTGCTGTGGGCGCCTGCATGTCAATGCCAACCTCTGTACTCTGAGCGTCATTCTCCTCCTTGAGCTCGGTGCCAACGACATCCTTGGTCTCTACACCGGAGGCCGTTGATTTCTCCAACCTATTGACTTCCTCACGCCGAGACGCGGAAGCAGAGGAGGCATGATCCGCCAACACCGGCGTGAAAGCGTGTGCTGCATGCACCCTATGTGCAGATGACGGCCTTGCTGATTTATTCCTACCCTCTGCTTCGACCTCTGCTGCTTTATCATCGGGTTCCTTTTCGCGAAAGGTTAGTGCGTCATCAAACTGGACTCGCCGCCCTTTCTTGACGGGCTTAAGCGTCAGCACCGCCTGAGCACCATGTGGTGCCAACTTCACGGCAATCGTTTGCTTCTGGACAAGATAGTCGACCAGTGCCTTTAGTTTTGCATTTTGGAGCTTTTTTGCATCAATTTCGACAAGTCCTTCGACTGGCTTATCAGACTTATTCATAGCATATAAAACGTAGTTGTCAAAGTTGGGTAAAGCCCCTCCCTCTGCTGAGGCCGCCGCATCATCCGTGTCGTTCCCAACTTCATTGCTGGAGGCGTTGCTCTTACTTTTCGCACTCTTCTTGCCGCCCTTTCCGCCTCTCACGGAGCTGTTCCGCTTCTTCCGCGTTCCCGCACTGCCTGTTCTCTTCTCCAAGCGTCCCTTGAGCACGAAGAGGAGGCTATCACCCACCTCCGCTGTCAGCAAAATTGTCTCGTCTCGCTCCTCCAACGGCTCTGTAGGTGGCGTCTGGTCTTTTGTAGGAAACTCGGTTGTTGGTGTCTCTGCTTCCACGAACGAAAGACTCTCCTCCTCCACCACGGCGAGTCCTTGTGCCGTCTTCTTTGATTTTTTTCTCGCACCAATATCGCTTGTCGACCGATGGTTCTTATCCGCCCATGCAGATGCGATCTCGTCGTCCCTGTCGTTCTGGTTAGTGGCATGCTTCTGCTTCAGAATCTTTTGATTGGCGAGTCGCTGCTCTATCTCCGCGGCATACTCTTCCCCCGACTTGTGTTGGGCGCGCTTCTTCTTCGGCCGACACTGCTGGAAGTAGTAGTTGTAGTTGAATGTCTCGTAGAGCTGCTGCAGGATCTCGATGAGATCCTCACGCATAGGGTACACCTGCGTTCCGGGCGAGGCCGGTCGCATCCACGAGGCCAATGACGGTGTGTTGGCGCCCGTCTCCACCAGCGTGGAGAAGGACAGCCGCTGCTCCGCCGCAGCCTTGTCTTGCTCACTCCCTTCCTCGGAGTCTTCGTTAGAGTCCGTGGGCATTGTTCCATCCAGCTTGCCAAAGTTATTGCCAGACATCGGCATGTACCGTTGCGCCGATGTAGTTGTACGCATCGTCGACCCTAGCGTTCTGGAAACAGCGCTCCCCCTGGCGGAGCCCAACATGTCAGACGGGGAGTAGCACATGGTGTCTTGTGTCCCCTCGTCCTCTTCGTCCTCCGGTTGATCGTGGGAGATGGCATCGTACATGAACTGTAGCAGCCTTAGACCTGCAGCCTCTGCGTCGCAGCAACCGGTGGACTCGTTGTCCACGGAGAATGCAATCATTTTTTTCTCCTCCTCAGCACTCCTCCGTGATCCACTGCTGCTGAAAGATGGACAGTGGCTTGGCTCATTCAATGTTGTGGAGTCCACTGCTCCGGTCGGGCTTGACACCTTCCCACTGTCTAACGCAGATGATGAAGCTACCGTCTTAAAAGAGGATACCATGGGCCTTGAATACCGCTTCTGTTGAAGCTGCTGTCGTGGTCCCTGTGCTCCTGGTACCCAGTCAGAGTTCACATTAGCCTCCAAATCTGCATACTGCGTATTCGGTATTTCCAGTTCCACAGACTCAATGATCCAAAGAAGTTCTGAGAGATTTGATGTTACTCTGTCCGCAGAGAGGGGCGACCGCTGCCCCTCCGTGCCCCTCTTGGCCTTCTCCAGCTCCAGCTGCTGCTCCATCTCAGCAGCGACCCGTCGCAGTTCCTTAATGGACAGGTTGGGTGGAGTCTCCCGCTCGAAAAAATCGACGTCGGTGTTGGTGGGGGAACTTTGGAACGTGAAGGTATTGCACTCCAACAAGTTACGCCCCATCACCTGCTGCAGCTCCTCGCGGACGTTGAACTGCCGACCAACGAAAACAATCAGCTTTGCAGCCTCTAACTGCACCATTTCTTTGCGGCGTTCCTCTGGCGCCATTGGGACCTTGGCGTTGGCGGCCGCATTCTGTACAACAGCCTCAGCAAAGTTTACCTTCATCAGCACGGAGTCCATCCGGTGCCGCAAAGAAGCTGCGCTAAAGCTGGAGACCGTGGTTGCGGAGCTGGTGTCACGATTCCTTGAACGGTCACTGGAAGGTGTGAGTACCACGTTTTCAGAGTGTGGGGCCAGACCAAACGTGTCTTGCAAGGCTGGCTTCTGGCGCCGTAATGACGATTCGTCCATGTCTTTGCCGCTGTTGTGGGCCTTTTCTTTCGCAAGGGACGTCGGGGGCACGAAGTGGACACGTGTATTGTGCTGTCTTGCGCTCCTGATATTTCTACATGCGGAAGAAGTCTCCAGAGGAGACGGTTCAGGCGATGGTGAGACCGGTCTCGACATGGTTTCCCTCTTCACCCCACCTCTCTGTGCCCTGCGGTGTGTATCAGAAAAACCTGTTGTTGCTGTTGCTGTTGCTGTTTTGCCTTTTTCCTTTCGTTGTGATATTTTCCTTCTCCCACTTCTCTCTTGGGCCCTGCGCTTGCCGCAGCTTCTGTCTGGATGGCAAGAACACCTTGGTGCAGAGAGAGAGCACGGACAGAGAGGAACGTGTCGTGGGGCTCACGCCTTCAGCCACGGAGGAGATCAGGCGCGCACTAACGCAGCGTACAAAAAAATAAATAAAACAGC